AGCTCTCAGGCCCGTAGCGTGGGGGGGGGGGGTAGGGGTTAAAAAGAACTGCCCAAAAACTAAAGAAGGTCCGCATTTAAAAACGAAAAATTAATATTCGGAGACCTACGGCCAATTATATATTTGTTCTCCAGAGCATCTGAGAAAAGGGTCCACTTTCCACGAAAACGAAACGAACCTCCTACAAATTAAGTCACGTTGCGGGCCAGAGCTCACCACTTTCAAGATTCCTTGATACGCTGCTCAGGCAACCTGAGGAAACCTCCCTCCCTAATTTTCTGTAAAAAATATAATTTTATTACCGTCAGTGACGGATGAAGGAATATGTTTTTTTTTTCTGGTGGAAGGTGATGAATACTACAACATATAGGCTTAATGAGGACCTACGTCCGACATGAGATTGGTCCTTGGTCCGACGAAAAGCGTAATTGGGGTTCCTAAGCCGCTGGGTGTCCAGGTGGCCCATGCCATCTAGACCCCAATTTATTCTCTAATGATTTATTCTCTAATGATTTAATCTCTAATGATTTATTTTCTAATGATTCAGCTCCACAGATTAGACATATTTTGGTGCTGCCGGAGGAAAGTACCGCTTTCCACAACCCCGGGATCAGCCACTGACCGTAGGTTTATTTCTCTCCTTTAAACTTATGCTTTTATTTCAACAAGGCGCATGCATAGGTCTACAGTAGTTATCATAATACATGTACAATTAAAAATACATTTGATAAAATATATTTTTGTGAAGCTATATCTTACCTTTAACAAACAGTAAACGTGAGTAGGCCCTACCACAACGAAGGTTGAAAAATGTATCACGGTGTGGCGGAAGTTTGAGAGAAAATGACTGAAATCAGGGGCCGTCTTAAAACTCCCAACCAATGAAAACATCGTATCGGAATGTTGCTTATAATGAATAATTGATTACATTCCGATCTAAATCAAAAAAAGATGTTGAGTTGCCTACTCATGTTTTCTAATGAGGTATTGTACCTTGAAAACGACAAAAAATCATCAAAAGTAGGCCTAATACTGAAATCAACTCACCAAAATTGAATATAGTAAATAAAATAAAAAATGCCACGGCTACAGAACAATTAATGGCAATCTTCTATGGCATATTCCATAAAGCAAACCAATAGAGTTAACTTACTAGTGATTGTTAGTACGTTAGTCACTCAAAGATTATTTACGTAACACCTTTACTGTACAGTAGCCAAGACTGTATACAATAACAATGTGTAAATTCACTTTCGTATCAGCAAGGATGGCAAATATGTTTACCTTTTTGCTGATATAGTGTAACATTTGACCTGATCTAATGTGTATACTACATACTCCATTAATTATGTAACTAATAATTACAGTGTTATAAATAACAATATTTTCCGTAGTTTTAGTTAACATTTAGTTTAGTATTTTCTTTTTGTTTTGTAAGTTTATGTGTATTCAGGGTGCACAATCACTAATGTGATGGTTGGCATTGATTCAAAAATGAACCCAATGGAATTCAAATCAAAATGCAATACACCCCATCGTGTTGGGATTCAATAGTTCGACATTAATGTATTTCCTCCATGCTTTAAGTGACTAACATTAACAATAACTCGATTATGGAACATGTGACAGAAGAATGCCTTCAATTGGTCCGTAGTTGTGGCATTTTCAAATTTTGTACTTTGTTTTGTTTTGGGAAACATGACGCAGTGACTCAGTAGGCTCTCAAGTCTACATAACATCTAATTTTTAAGGCCAATTTCTCTGCCTTCTAGAATTTTTCTTCTGAATTTAAAACTGAGAATACAATAATTGTAAAATTTGCTTCACAAATATTTGATTTGTATTGTAATTACAGGGGCGGATTTAGGGGGGGGCGGCCCGGCCCCGGCCACCCCTTTTGAGAGGTAAAAATAAGAAAAAAAGAAAAAAAAGAAAGAAAAATCGATAGCCCAGAACGCCTCAAATGTTATTTTCGGGCGTCTAAAACACAGAAATTTCGCGGGGGCATGCCCCGGACCTCCTACTTCAGTGTTGTCTCGAACGGCCCAAATTTCGGCTCCCCCTTTCGCCCATCCCCCTTTTGGACGTCTCTGGATCCGCCCCTTTAAATATAATGGGTAGGTTCCATCCTTTAAATATTACTTCACCAACTTCTGCATTCAGCGAACGATTTCACAGGCATTTATTGGATGATACAATTTACCGTACCTTACTACAAAAAAAGGAAGATAAGATACGGTATCGTATCCTTAGCCACGGCGATAACTTAATGTAATAATATAAAAAATGTTTAATATATTTAAGTAGCATACAAAATAATGAGCTTGAGCATAGACATTATTGAATTAAAAAATGTGTACCCTGGTTTTCCAAACTGGGTGAATCATAATTAAAAAAAAAAACAAAAAAACAAAAAAAAAAACAACAAAAAAAAACACACATTTGAGTGTTTGTCTATCATTTTCACAGTAAAATTATGGGTAAACATTTTTTAAATACACTTCTATGTTAAGTTGATTATTTTTATGTTACCTCAAAATGGCAAGTTAACTTTATTAACGATTTTTAATTATTTTTTTGGTAAAGTTTATTTTATATTTGATTTAATTATCTATTATTATACCGTATCATGTTATGCTTTTCTGATTGGATTGGGCTACTTTATAGGCCTGCACACGGGTTTCGAGCGGAATATTCCCACCGCACCTTGCACCTTGATCATGATAAAGTTGTTAAGAATGGCGACTTCGCGAACACTGGGAAACCTATCGCCGGATTGCTCGGCATTTTTCTTGTGCGATATGCAAGAAAAATTCAAGCCTCATATTAAATATTTCGACGATATTTTAGAAGTGACAAAGAGAATGGTATGATTTTTCAACGTCTTATAACATCTAACTACAGGCTAGGCTCTAATGTAGGCCCAGCCAGACAGATCTGACCTTGGTGATAAGGTAGCCAGCGTAACATCTTAGCTATTCCTCCTAATGACTTCATTAGAAATTTTTACAGGAAGTGATCCATAAATAAATACGGTACGCAGTGCGATGAACCGTTCCCTAGTTTTAATTAGACTTAAACTGAACAGTCTGGAATAGCCTGCCACATAAACTCATGTATTGTCCCTCAAATGGACATGTTTACGTATAAACGCTATAGGGCCTACAGTATCATTTTGTGGCTCCAAAAATCTGCCGACAGAGAGGGGTTTTAACAAGTGCGATAGGGATCCATGATAAGTTTCCATCTAAAGGTCTTTGGCTGGCCAGAGTTCCAGGGGTTCCAAGTCTTCCGCAAGTCGCGGGAGACTCCCAGAAATCGGGGATCAGGTGCGATCCATGCAGGATCCGCGGGTATGCAGCTGAGGCTGAATATCTTCTCAATGTTCTGACCCTAAACATTGGTGAAGATGAATCCATGAATCACACACCTGATCTGAAATATTATTATTTATATAGATTAAATTTGTGAAGATCATATCAAACTATTAATATATTGTACATGTTTTTTGTTTCAAAATAGGTCTCCGCAAGTAGAATTCTTAACATTCCACTGGTGATAACAGAGCAGGTGAGATAGATGTCAGTAATGCAAGAGAAATACCTTAGTATTCAGTCATCTCATACATTTTAATTGAAATTCTGCATTATTTTCTGGTCATGTGATGTCTAGTAGATGAAATTGCTTTAAGTTTTTGGACAGCTCTATCCTTAGACTTGCCACAAGTTCCTTATTAGTTTTTCTCATTCTGGACAGTGCCGTCAACGAGCAAGTTAATTTTGAGGCAGAATTTAAAAAAGGAAATCGAGTATGGGACACCATATAAATTATGTATGGCGCACAATAAAAAGTAACCCAAAATTAGGGCCCGGAACCCAGGCTACTCCAGCCTATGTATTTCTGCACCTGTTATGTACGACTTACGAAAGGAAACTGCCATATCTTTTAGTTTTGAGCTGCAACTTTTTATAATATTTTTTATCAATTTTAGGAATAAATATTTTAGAAATCAGTCTATTAGGATAGTTTTGAAAATCTAAAAACAGGCAATTTTGGTTAGTTTTACACAACAACATTGGATAAATCCTTTCTCTACATCATATAAAACAAGTTTCAACTCAGTTTCTATATTTTGTACTCACTAATCAAGACCCTTCACTAAATATTGAAACACTATTAAGTATGTTAGGACATGTAGGGCCTGTGTTTAGACTAACTACATATTTTACAAGCTAATTTTAGAAGTAATGTTATCATATTTTTTCACATTAGTATCCAAAAGGTTTAGGGAATACAGTAGAAGATATTGATACTAGCTTTGCTGTAGGAGTTTACCCAAAAACTAAGTTCTCCATGCTGATACCTGAGGTGAAGAAGAAAATAGAGGAGATGAATAATTTGAAGTCTGTGGTCTTATTTGGAATTGAGGTACTGTAGGCCTACTATAGTTATTAAATTACTGGTATCTGTTAAATTATGTTCTAATGTTATTGTGCTAATTTCGTGAAGGTCAATTTGTAAATTGGTTTGTTTTGGTTATCGTTTTATAATGATAATGGTGAAAGATTTTTGAACATAAATATTACATTAGTCAAAGAGCTGTCCCTGTTTTTGTTATTAAAATAATGAATAACAATTTTCAAATGAATTAAAGATTGGTTATATTTTGAACATAAATATTACATTAGTCAAAGAGCTGTCCCTGTTTTTGTTATTAAAATAATGAATAACAATTTTCAAATGAATTAAAGATTGGTTATATTTTAAAAATTATATAAAAATGACACAATGCTGCTACTTTCAACCCACATCACTCTACATACCAGTAATTTTTGACCGGCTCTGGCAAAACCCGCTGTTTGTCACAATTTCTAATTTCCCTCAAGAACCCAAAATGTTTTGAGAATCAGAATTTTGAACATTTTCATGTTTTTGCATTTTAAAAAAGAAGATATATTGAAAAACATTTCTGCAAAATATCAATCACTAAATCTAAATGATTAGTATATTAAAATTATTTTTTTAAATAAAAATCTCAATACCTGTAATAAACTATTGATTTTGGAATCCTTAGAAGCTGTTTTCTCAAAATCTACATGGTTAATAGCCAAAGAATTATATATTCATAACTAGGCTAATATTTAACCAATTTCCATATTCATAACTCAAATAAACACTGTTTTAAAGAAAAAATTCAGGCTGAATTTAACAACACCAAAAACTCAATTTTGAATTTTTCCTACAAACGGCTGGTTTTGCCAGAGCCGGTTACATTTTATAAATGATAATATTTGAGGAAGTGTCATGATGCAGTTGGTATGATGACTTAATTTTAATTACAGTATTGAACATTTGTTAACAAGTTTGAATATATTGAATAATTATTATAGACTCACGTATGCATCCAGCAAACTGCTCTTGATTTGTTGGCTGTTGGAATTGATGTGCATGTGGTAGCAGATGCTTGCTCATCGCGGAGTATGATGGATAGACAATTTGCATTTGAGGTAAAACTTTGTGCTTTATACTTTGAATTTGTCAACAGTATTCTAACAAACTTTCATAATATTTGCGTGCCTTACTCTGCTTTCTTGTGCCTCGCATAAAACATGGCCTGCCTGTACTGTAGGCCTACCACATAATGGTCTGCCCATTTAGCAGTTTACCCCATCAATAGTCCACAGTGGCAGATCCAGGAATTCGAAATAGAGGGTGGCCAGGGAGATACTTGGATGGAGGATCAATTCATCTGCCCTGCCTTCAATCCACCCTGGCCTGCTCTTGTATACTGTATACTCAGTGATGTATCTAGGGGAGCAAAAAAACACCATGTTCAAGTAGTTAAAAATCGCCTTATACCATAAAACCTCGAATTCAAACCTGGGCTTCAACATATTTTTTTTAATGCAAAATTTAGATGGGCTTTTTTTCAAGATGGGCTTCTTTTTGAGGCTACTTTTGCAAAGTAAAGAGGGGCTTCTTTTCAAAATGATTACAGTAAATTTTGGAATTTGTACTATAAAACAATAAATACAGACACTGTAACATCAATCTGTATCATGGAGTGTATTTAACTGACATTAATTCACCTAACCTACTGTATAAACGAAGCTTGTTTTTAATTTATTTTGTTTTTTGAAATTCATGTGCAGTGTATATACTGTACTATCTCAAAAAAAGCCTTTGCTACCTTGAAAAGAAGCTCATGGGCTTCTTTTCGAGGCTAATTTTGCAAAGTAAATAGAGGGGGGCTTCAATTCAAGATGGGCTTCACCTCAAGATAAAGCCCACTGGGCTTCAGTTCAAGGTTTAAGGTATCACCTTATTTTGCAACCTAGCTCCACCTCACTTAAGCTTCGAGCCCCATAACTCCACCTTTGTTCCCCCCCCCCCTTCCCCTCCCCCCCCCCCCCCACCATTTCAAGACTCCAAGATACACCGCTGTGAATACAAGCCTACCATAGTTTGTTCGGCCTCATAAATGTTCTGCCATGGTATGCTATCACCTGCTACAATATTATGTATGTATAGCCTACAATTTTAATTTGTATGGTTTTGTTATCCTAAAATTTATCTTCATTTCAACCTGACCATGACATACTGTACTTTGTATTTGTGATTTAGAGGTTGAGACAAACTGGTGCTATAGTGACAACAAGTGAATCAGTACTGCTACAGCTTGTAGGGGATAAAGACCATCCACAATTCAAACAAGTACAAGGACTGATCAAAATAAGTGCTCCAACTTCAGGGCTATGAAATATATATTGAGACAACATCTGTACACAATGATTATTGTATTAGGTGCGTTTATAATGCGTAATTCAACCAATCACAGGCACTTGTGCTAAGAAATCTGATCATATGATGGGATACAGTAACCTTGTTCTTTCGCAGCTGAAGCATCGCACTGTTGCTCGTTCGAACCTCCTCCAGATCGTGAAGAACAAGGTCAAAACATCTAGTTTACACATATAATTTAAATATTATACAATACCAGCAAATTTAAGGTAATAGAATATGAATACAGTATCTAAATTAAAGAAGTACTGTTTCAGTTTTGTGATAAATTTGAAGGCAATAATAATTTATTTATCGTACAATCGCTGTTTCACTCCATTGTTTTTGTTTACAACATAACAGGGGCACCAGCGGGGATTTCCCCTCCCCCGGTCGGCGAGAGCTGTCACCCCTCCCCCGTCTGGGAGAAAAAACAATTCGCCGGGGAGAAAATAAAAATCATATGCATTTTCTACATAGTAGACTCTAAAATCGATTAAATAAGCCCTTTGAAACCCCTAAATTGTCAAAATTTTCGGAGGCTTTAATGGCTTTCACTTTAATTCTTTTATATCTTTTTAATTTGAATTCTGGCCCTTTTAAATGTTGCCTTTATTCTTCCCAATTTTGATGTAATTTAAATTGACTTTTCTGCAATGCTAAACATTTTTTTTTTTTTTACTAGAATTTGTATATTAAATTTTAATAATAATAATAATACTTTTGGTGTAATTTTAATTAACTTTTGTGCAATGCTTGAAAAAAAAAATTCTTTTTTTTACTTGAATTTGTATATTTAATAATACAGTAATAATAATGTAATAATAATAAATGTAATAATAATGATACAATAATTGATAATTGAAAATAATGATTTGTGTTCATATGTTTTTCTTTTTTGGTGAAATTTAAATGTTTAAAATTTTAATGTTACTTTTATCTCCTTTTTTTCATGTTTTGTGCTTGATTATGTTTTTTAATTTTAATATTAATTTTTTGTAAATATCTTGTAATTCAGCTCTGGCTGCTATCTTGATGTGAATAAAAGAAACTAATACTGAATACACTGTACAGTACATGAATTTCAAAGAAACAAAATAAATTATAAACATGCTTGGTTTATATAGTAGTTTAGGTAATTTGATGCCGGTTAATACACTCCTTGATACAGATTAATGTTACAGTGGCCCTACTTATTATAGTAATAATTCCCACAATTTACAACATTCATTTTGAAATGGAGCCTCATCTTTACTTTGCAAAAGAATCCAATTTCAAAAAGGCCATCTCGAAAAGAAGCACATCCAAAGTTCACAAAAAAGAAGCAGCCCAGTGCTTCAATTCGTATGTGCTTTACCGTGTATCCCTGCTGTAGATAATGAGTACAGGCATAAACGGGACACATAATGGATCTTGTACAACGTGATAGCAGTAATTTCACTTCAGTATCATACAGATTATATTTTTTAACTAGTTTAAGCATAAACATTTAAAAAATGTATCCTGTTTTGAGATTAAAATATCAAGTGTATATACAGTATTTGAATTTTATTTCAACAATGGGATGCACACATTTTGAAACTGTAAATGGCAGAAAGAGTTGCCAAACTTCCAGGGTTTGGTTTGGATTTTCAGGGTAAAATGGCAAAATTTTACCTAACTAATGTATTTTATGGAAAATTGGTTATTGAACTGGCATAGCTGTAGTGATACGGTGCTTATAATTATTTTGATCTCTTATTTATAAACATATTCCTTCCCGTTCTATTCATTCTTCCCAATCCCTCCAACTCATTACTCCACGTGTTGAGCACATTCGTGCTGGTGAACGCTTTTTTCCCTTTTCTGCTCCTAAACTCTAGAAACCTCTGCCCCCACAATTGTGTATCATCCTGAATTATTCAAACCCAATCTTAAATCCTTCCACTTCAGTAGCTTGACTACTTCCAACATCTTTCAGTGAGGGTGACAAGCCATTTTTTTAAAGTTTTAATAGGCACTTTAGAAATGTGTTTTATTAATATTATTATTATTGTTATTATTAAAGGAAACATGGGGGTGGTGTTTGAGATATTGCTTTTAAAATTACAATGGTCTTTGCTGCTAGTGTAAATGGGTGCAGTTTTGGTCCTTAAAACATGAAACTGCCTTCGGTCCTTTCTTGCTTAGCAGTGTGAAAAGGCTTTATAATGTATGAAAACATAAATAATATCTTACAGAAATATGAGAAAGAATTAAAAACTATGAAGCAATAAGCAGTACAGTATATTGTTTGAGGGTCTTTTAAATTATTTGTGTTGGATTTGTATAATTAAGTAAAAATTTGCATCTGTTGATAAAGTGTGAATGGTGTTCACTCATTTATTTCACCCTTGAATTGTGTACTCGCACTAAATCAAAAACATGTTTAATATTAAATAACGATAACTGGAAAAGTATTTAATGCTCAAATTATTAGACGTTACCTAGCCAATAGCAAGATGTACATTAAAAAAATGTAATATGTAATTTTTGGCAAATATAGACCCAATATTTTTTAATTCTCCCCACTTTTTCAATCTCCTTAACTTTTTCCCGTAGTATCAGTAACAATCCTCTCCTGTTCTTTGCTCATGTACTTGACTTTGAATTTTTTTTTAAAGTATTATATGTTTGTGATTTTTAATGTACAGATATCCCCTCTTTCTGTGCAAATTATATTTTGTGGAATAATATATTATGTATGTGCTTTAGATACCCCATATCCCATAATTATAGGAGGGCAAATGTACGCTTGTTGAAATCTTTATATAATATTGTTTCTGAAAATGTAATAAAAAATTTTTTTTTTAAATGTTCTCATAAATCACAAGAATACTTTAAGTGGAATGTCTGCATATATAATATTTATTTTATTTATTTTTTAAAATCTCACCATGCAAAAGAGAATTATAGCTGGTTCATTAACAATAAAATTAATAAAAACAATCCCTTATTGACATTAGATTGATATCAAAATTGTAGAATTTTTTTACTTAGAAAATAGAAAACTAAATTGACTCGATCCTCATCCCATCTCAATAGGAGTGTCCCATTGTACAGTATAATAAAAATAAATTTTAAATCATTTCAAACAGTGGCATTCAGCTGAATGTGACACAGTATATACCAATATACTGTGCTATTATAAATAAAACAAAATCTTTTTAAAGGATGGTTTGCCTTATTGGTGGTTAAAATTTGCACTGGCTTTGCTTGCACCTAGAGATATATACTAAAAAACCAATTAATAACAATTAATAGAAAACAACATACCATCTTATATATATATATACATATATATATATATACATACATATATATATATATACACACACGTATATATATATACACATGTATATATATATATACACGTATATATATATATATACACATATGTATATGTATATGTATATGTGTATATGTATATATATATATATATATAATAAAGTACACACATACGATACATCAGTGAATACAAATGCATACATATACAATGTATGATTAGATGTACAATATAGTTTTGAACACAAATGCAAGAATCAATATAGAGTAGATTAGAGCAGCACTGATTGTGCTTACACTTTTTGCACTCTACATGCTGTTTCAGCCTAATTTGCACTACATACAGTACTGTGTCTCCTTGAAAATAAACAAACAAAATACATTTTTAGAGACCATGGTACATATATTACATTTTGCATAGGCAAATATCTGCAGTAAAATATAATTGTTGCATAACACTAATTCATTTATAAAAAACATTTTAGGCACTTATTTATTGGTAGATTCATGGAAGACTGATATTTACATGTAACACACACACACTCAAAAGTAGATAACATATACATCTTCAGTCTAAAACCTAAAAAAAACCTGATTGTTTAATAACTGCCACATTTGATGCTAGAATAACTTTGTTCCCCAATTTCCCCTCACCACAAACCCACTGTGTTTCTTTGTATTTTATTAGGTATTGTTTAAAGGAGCAGATCCCAAGTTTCTGAAACCAGGATGCAACAATGTCATAAGGGCCTAGATGTAATATACAGATAAATAAGTATCCAAATAATATTGTTTGAAGGTTTGCATGGCGAAGTAATAATATATATTAATGCTTCTACACCGCGTAGATAGTTTTGAAAAGAACTGTTGTTGGTTGAGAATGTCTCAACGTTTCGACTGAGTTGCTTCAATCCTCTTCAGGAGAATAATATATGATCAGACATTATCAGAAAATCCTCAAAATAATAAATTGAAATATAAACATCCAATCTGGATATTATTACACCAGTCTAAAACCAATTCCTAATTCTGATTAGCTGTTGCTGTATGATTTGGATACATTTGGATATTATTCTCCTGAAGAGGATTGAAGCAACTCAGTTGAAACGTTGAGATATTCTCAACCAACAACAGTTCTTTTCAGAACTATCTATGTGGTGTACGGCAAGCATTAATATATATTATCCAAATAATGGTATGATTCGTGTTCAGTATTAGCTGTTACAAAATATTGTAACATTTAGTATTTTTAAGCCATTTCGTATAAAAGGTGGCAGTGGCAAAAAGGGGGGGGTGCCCCTCCCTAAATCCGCCCCGATTTACACTTGAATCAAACTCTTACTCATTTTATTTACTAAGTCTACGTTTATAGCCATCACCGTGCCTGCATTTAGCTGAACAAAAATATATCTGGTTGCTCCATAAATTAATAACATAAAATTTATTTCATATGCTAATGCAGCTTCAAAGTTATATAATACTGTAAAACCTTGTATAGAAGCCCTGGCCCCATGGGCTTAACCTCGAGGAGATGACCTCAAAAAGAAGCCCCCTCGTCAGTTTGCAAAAGTAATCTCAAAAAGAAGCCCATCGTGTAAATTATTAAACAGAATTTTGAAAAATGTCGAAATAGCAATTCCAAAATTTATAGCATTCATTTTGAAAAGAAGCCCCACTTTTTAGTTTGCACAAGTAATCTCGAAAAGAGGCCCATTTCGAAAAGCCCTTCCATGGGTCCTAAAAAATAGAAGCAAAGGGCTTTTATTCGAGGTTTTACAATATATACATATCAAACATATGTTTCTCTAAATTCATACATATCACATAACACAACATTTATCATCATCTTTTTTATCTTCAATTTGTGTTTTGGTAGCTGGTTTTTTCTCCATTGTGTTAGTCTTTTTAGTATCTGATTCCTTTTTTTCTAATCCATATTTATCTCGGATTTCGTCTCGCCGTGCTGACCTTTCAGCTCGTCGTTTTGCCTGCATCTCTTCCCTTTTCTTCCTATAAATGAAAATGAAAGTTTCCTAGTGTTCAGTGGCATTTTTACTACAACTACTTCAGGCAGAACAGTGCAAGAGATCCATCTAGTAATTAACCCAAATTCAATTTTTAAAAAAAAACATTTTTCATCAGACAAGTCATTTTTCATCAGACAAGCCCACCATTAATGCCTACCATATCTCTACTAAGGGTTGTCAGGTGGCAAGTGAAAATGAAAAAGTGAATGTTTTAAAAATTTATTTATTTTTTTAATAATCTCTAAATAATCTCTGAATACTCAGCTTACTTTTCTTCTTCCTTTTTTAAATCTTCTTGCTTCATCTTCTTCAAATCAGCAGATGACAGGTGATTCTCTTCCTCTTCCTTCTCATCATCTATTCCAAGTCCTTTGGAAATTTTAGATATTTTATCAGAAACCAAAGCTTTTCCTAACATCGCTGACATGATGATGGTTTTTCAGTCTCTTCTCTTGAGGCAAACTATCGATTAAAAGACAATGGCAAAGTCAACATAGGATACAGATTCACAAATATTCATGTGTAGATAGTTAATGTTATCAGTAATTAACGACAAACATTGATTTTATAATATCAAAATTTAAAAACAAATTTTGTTAATTGCTCAGATGATACCTAAAACACCAGCTCAAACTTGACACAGAAAATCGCTAGGAAAATTGGTATGAAGAATCGTAAATACTGCACACATTGTTTATATAATCTAATTTTCAGCTAAATCTGCGCGGAAATCAGCCCTTATTTTCCGAAATGCGTGGATGGATTTCTAGGCCTAATTTTTGCATGGAGGACCAGACTGTGTAATAAGGCCTGCACAGGGACTATATCCTCCGGGCAAAAATTGGGCCTAGAAATCTGTCTGTTTTTTCAGAAAATAATGGTAAATTTCGGCGCAAATTTTGTCAAAAATTAGGCTGTCACCTAGCCTAACCTTAATGCATAACAATGTATTATGCAGTATATACTATTCTGGTTTTTGAGGCATCATCAATTAAGTAGCTTCTACAGTATGGGTGAGCAAAAAAAAAACATGCTATACAATCTAATAATAATACATTATAATTTAATATATGCACATCAAAACAATCTATTGTACTACAAAGAATAATTCCCATTTATGATTTATGGATGAGTCACTTCAACACAATAGTTATAGTGAAATCTTAAATAAAATTAATAATTGTATAATTAAACACCCGGGGGGGGGGGAATCCACTTTTTGTTCAAGCGTGAACAAAAATAGTAAATTAATTGAAGTAAATGGTAAAATTTTATTACTTTAGACGATAAACCTATTCAGGTGTAGTCTACTTTACTTAGGCTAGGCCTGTGGTCGGGTTAGGGCTATGGACTGTTCAGGCAAGTAGGGAGCTAGGCTATATTTTCGGTCTATAGGAGCCTAGGGAGCTAGGAGGACGCTACTAGGCCTAGGTCTATATTAGTAGGCCTAGTTTAGGGACCTAGGCGAGGAGGACCTACGCCCAGCGGCTGGTCGAGCATTTTATTTAAAATTATTGTTTTACTATAGTATTTCAATTCAGAAAATGTGTGTTTCTTCACGTCCTCCGACTCTACCTACCTTTCTCTTCCGTTTTATGTTTTATTTGGTTTTATTCCGTTTTGGTTTCTGGACCTTCTTCCAAAGCAATTATTATTTCATTTGCGTTTCGCAGAAGTCGAAACGCGTTAACTCTAGGTTAAAAGTTTCCCACACGAAAAAAGCGGTACTGGATAAAGACAACTTGGTTTCTTTGCTTCAAACAAGGTATCCATTCGTAAAAGTCTAATATCAAGGAGGTATAAAATGAAGATAAGGCTATCCAAGTGAACATAAAATTTTGGGGACCAAGACAAAAATTAATTTTTTCGGGTTCATAACGGCACCGCCCTCATGGTGTAGATTTATCAAACTTAAAATCAGCTTAAATTCGTCTTGAATTCATAAATCCAGGCCAAGTCTTTAATAAATTAACGTACATAAATGTGATTGTAAGGTCTGTTTGGTTTTTATCCATTTGCAAGCTTTTATGAAGTTTTGTTTAATCTAGGCCTGCTACAATATAATAGCAATGATGAAATGACGGTGATAATGATGGTAATCATAATAGATAATAATGTTAATACTATTAGTCTAAAAAGTGAAGAAAATTGTGTAAAAGGCGAAAAAGAAATTTGTAATTTGTCCAATCATTATAATTATTATGAAAGCGTAGTAAGTTATAGTTAGGTCAAAGTTCTGGATATGACATTAAAATCCATCCTGTCGGCACCTCACTTTCTTAGTGACTGCTGAGGGGAGGGTGCATAAATTTGTTTTCAGGATGTGATCTGGTTTTTTTATGAACATTCTTCGTGATTACGTGTCTCTGAAGGGGTCGTGGCTGTGAAGGGGGTGGGGGTGCGCGGGAGCAAAAAAAAAATAAAATAAAAGAAAATGTCCGGCCATAGAGGTGCCACGGCTTAAGTATATTAGACCCATCTGTGAAAGTACCTTCCTGCCCCCCCCACCCCCTTCTATTTCGAATTCCTGGATCTGCCACTGTAGTGTTCAATTTTACGTCCCACCATATTTCTTGATTAGTTTAGAACAGCTGCTGAGTTGTAGTTTTTGGTAATTTCAAATTGTACTTTTTGCTGTGCTACATGAGAATATTAACGTGTCGCAAACATTAAAATTCTGTAGCTTTACAAAAAAAACATATCAACATTCTGTTCACAACATAGTTACATGTACCTATATACTTATATATTTTTCTCTACATATTAGTAGACACGAAAAACAATTAAATAAGCCTTTGAAACCCCTAAATTGCCATATTTATGTAGTATTTTCCATGCTTAATTCAATTTGTTACCCTGTTTGTACAACTCACCTGTTGAGTGCCATTGATACAAATGGTATATTCTTATTATTATAGTTGTCACAAGGTCGGTGGTGGTGCCAGTTGGGAATAGGCCTGAAGAACGCACTTTTGTACATAAATTATTACGATTCGTCGAACAGAAAACTGTGTTTGTTAAATTTATTAAATTGGGGCTAGTTGAGCTAAGCCTATTTTCTCTGATCTGCAAACCTATGCCCAGGTAGGTTAGCATGCCTTTTGTAAGCCAGGACCAATTAGTATTTTGCTACGTTTCTTCACTTGAACCCCCCGGATCCGCCACTGACATAATACTATGTAACAAACAAATGCAAAAATGCACAGGGACACCACGCTGTTTTTTATTTTTCTTCAAATCGGTATGCCATCATCATACACAATATACTAATAATAATAATAATAATAATAATAATAATAATAATAATAATAATAATAATAATAATAATAATAATAATAATAATAATAATAATAATAATAATAATAATAATAATAATTTATATAGCGCCAATTTCAACTATACCGAAGTAAAAATCAAAGGCGCTTAACATTTAGATGGTAAAAAGGTGCGTCTTGAGTTTTGTCTTAAAAATAGCAACTGACGGTGATTGGATAATATGTTTGGGCAATGAGTTCCAAAGGGATGCTGCGGAAAATGAATATGATCTAGAACCAAAGGTTTTGGTGTTAATCCTAGGAACAACTAAAAGATTTTTATCAGAAGAACGGAGACAAGTAGGTGGGGCATACGCATGAATGAGTTCAACAAGGTAAGTGGGTTGTTTGTAAAATAGTGCTTTGAACGTTAATAGCAGGATTTTGTATTTGATACGAGATTCAATATAGAGCCAATGTGAATGATAAATTACCGGTGATATATGTGAGCGTCTAGAAGTAAGAGTCAGAATACGTGCAGCTGAATTTTGAAGACATTGAAGGCGATTTATCGCAGTTTTTGGTAACGAGTAGAAAAGGGAGTTGCAATAATCCAGATGGGGTGTGACCAATGCATTTATTAATACGGCAGCTGTGTGTTTTGAAATATATTTTCTGATATTAGCAATATTGCGTAGATGAAAGTTAGTAGTTTTAGTAGATTCAAGTAAGATGTTTCAAATGATATAAAAATATATGTATGTATGTATGCCTTTGGAACAGTTTTTTTTCGAGTTTTATTTACCTTAACGTCGACTCCGTCTTAGAAAGCACAAGGATTAACACACAACAGTATTACTCTTCAAAAAAATCACGGTCAAGTAGTTAAAAATCAC